TATTATATATTAAGAGAGAGAGAGAGATGTGTGTGTGTGCGCGCACGCGCGCGCGCGTGTGTGTGTGTGCCTTTGTGTCTGTTTGCGGCTTACAGGAGAAGTGCGCGGGATAGAACGTGTGCGTATGTCCCCAAAAATAACGCAGAGGGTTATGAAAAAGGTGCATTAAATATACACTGAACGCCACTAACGCAACACTCCATTCGAAGAGTCTGTGCACGTTTGTATCAAATGAGCATAGATTACAAGAGGTACTTTAAAAAAATCATTTTCAAACAAATCTGGACCATTTTCATCATATTCTACAAATGGTGTTGGTACCTTGTCTTCCTTCTTTCGGAGTTCCCCTCTAGACAAATTGCAGATAATCAGAAGTTGAAGATCTTTCACTCTTAATAAACTGCATGGCCATCATTAGCATGTATTAAGACCAATGTTTGTTGAGGCATTCTGGCCCACTTTAGCGGCAGCGCGACCTTCGATTGCAGCAGAATATCTAAATGTCCTTTTGCACGCACTTTGCGGTTCAGCTCATCCCTAATGATGGGTACATACAGTGGCCAGTCCATGACATGTCGGGTACATACAGTGGCCAGTCCATGACATGTCGGGTACATACAGTGGCCAGTCCATGACATGTCGGGTACATACAGTGGCCAGTCCATGACATTCATGTTATGATTTTCCCGAAACTGTGGTGTTTGTTATATGGGCAGAATGAGGGTAGGGATGTTGTGTTGGATGACTGAGAAATTCTGATTTTTTCCCGTGCTGTTGCACACAGTGAATACGGCGCTGTTGTCACGGATTCGTTAATAGCAGTTCATCACATTGATGGGAGAAACATGTTCACGTACTCCTTTCATGCCTTGAGGGGTTACTTTTGCAAGAAGGAAACGATTGCACAGGTGTGAATACAAAATCTGCCTGTGTTAATCAGGGCTGATCACTCGAGGCTGTCCTAATTTTTGTCTATTCTGGACATTGCAAGTATATGTATGCTAAAATCTTTGGATACGTCGACAAACAATACTCGCACTTCATTTTAGCCGTCTCGCTGCTTCTCGGGAAGATTTTCCGTCTTGAACTAGGCGGAGGCTAACTCGCGGCCAGCTTCGCTAAGTGGAAGAGTCTTGTAATGAAAGAACCATTAAAACTGATCTAAAAAATGTCCTGACATTGGTTTGGAAAGAGCCATTTATCATCTTGTAAGTGAATTAAATTCTTTTCTTGAGTACTATTGCGTCTCATTAGCACATTTTACCGAAGTGTACCTGTGCTGTGATGAAAAGTACTCTTGGACATACCAAAAAATCGTGCATGGGCGTGTGAATTAACAACTACTCACCTCTGTCTCCAAAAATCGTGACGATCAGAGCACACACACACACTCACACACACACACACACACACACATACACACACACACACACACACACACACACACACA